TAGTTGCTCTTTCTAAAGAAGTAGAAGCAACCTAATAATAAATAGAAAATTTGTATAGTAAAAATTTCAAGCTAAATAAAGTAGTATAGATTTTAATAGTCATGCTAGTTAATACTTAATCTAGTAAATATTTTTAAATATAAAGATATAGATCAAGTAGATATAAGTAAGTCTATGACAATACTTAAGACTTTTTTCTGTACATTAATTTATATACAAAACAAAAACTGAAAAAAGGGGAAAGTTACAAAAACTACTAATAAAACTATATTTTTGCAATAAATAACTAGTCATAACAAGACTATATTATTCTTTTTCTAAACAATAAAAATAAAGAAAAGGAGAAACAAAAACACCACAACTGCAAGACTTGTAACTCCTATTAGAAAGTTGCCAACTATGTCGACAACTCACTTCCATGATGATACTACTCTTAGTTCTCATATTACTCTCTTAACTAAAGATAACTTGGACGATGACCAGTATAATAATAGACATCAAAAAAAGAAAATAAGAGAAGAAAACAAGGAACAAAGCAATAATGAAACTAATACTTTGTAAAATAAAAACATAAATATCACCAAAGAAAAAAATCAAAAAAGTAGACAATCTAGTTTACCCCTAACAAACATAACAATAGTATATAACTAGTCAAAAAAACAACAAACTGAATTAGAACATGACCTAACATAGATTCTATAGAGGAGTTTTTTAATTTAGAAACAGAACAGGCTGAGGAACAACAAACAACAACTGTACCTCATGATCTATCACTGAACGCAGATCTAATCATGAATAGTGAATCAACAGGAACTATCACAGATATTCTTATACTTCCACGAAGCTATAGTCAAGTACTAATAGGAACACAAGAATTAAGGAGGACCCCTCACCCTAATTTAACCAGACTTATAGATGACTGGATACAGCAAACTCATCAAACCCTAGTAGCTCTTAAGGTTTAACTATTGACAAACAACTTTAGAATAACTAAGAAATCATAGATATCTTCTCAAATCTTGATAAAATTAAAGAATTAGTCTAATACAAACTACAAACAAAACTAATAGAAAATTTTATTCCATCTGCAATCAATACAAAACTATGTTACTAAGACAAAGCTTTCTTCTGGTCCTTTGTTAGATAACAAGATGCTCGCCTTTCTCATCAAGTAGAATATCAACAACTATTAACAACTGCAATTGAGAGATATAAACAATAGCATAATGCAATTATAATTAATAACAACAACAAAGAACAAATCTTAAATATGCTGTGAAAGAAGATCACAATAGATTTCTAGACTAATGAAGAATTTTCACTACTTGATACTCATGAAATTACTCAACGTATTCTATATATTACAAAGTTTGCAAAAATACCAATAAAACAAAACTTCAAGTCTTTAAAAGATGAAATTCATAAACTTTAACTTGCTCAGTTACAAAACTTACTATCTACACCAAATGAAATCCCAGAGGAGATCAGAACAGGCCTACTATTTTCCTTACTAATTGCAAACTGAAGGAATATATATGCAGTAGTAGCAGCACTTTGTTGTGTCTATACTTTTGAATGTCTACTAGATGCTTATATTTCTGATACCAGAATACAACTACCTGCATATTCACACTTGTTAAACTCTGAAACTAGAGATATGTTTCTAATTACCCCTTGTGCAGAACTCAAAAACCTAAGAATATACAAGCAATGTCTTCAAGAATACTACTTGTTCCATACTATTCCTTTAGATTACTTTAGTATACTACTACTCAAATTACCTCTACTATCAACACCATAGGAATTAAACCCTAGACTTCATGAAATCTTTCCTTTCTACCCTAGAAATACACAACACTTCAAAGATCATATTCACATATTAAGACAGGAATATACCTTCAAAATATTACCTAATGATTATTTTATCAATAAAAGACAACTCCCTGCTAATCCTACATCACTACTTCTCTCAGAACAGTTCTCCTTCTTGATAGAAGATACTGATACAGTTAAATAGTTCTTAAATACTATTCCTCATTATTACACTATACCTAACTCTCTTCTATTAGTCTACACTACAATCAACTATACAGATAAACCAGATCTTCTACAAGAACCTAAACTAATTACTAAAGTGAATCTCACTTTATCTATCTCTACTTTTAAGGAGCTAATAATTGCAACAAGAGCACTTCATGAATTTTATCATTTTCATGCAATACTATCTACATGGATAAACATATCTAAGAAACCCTCTAACTCACTTGCAGCAGATAAGTGAATACCTAATTCCAATGATAAAATAAACACCTTTATTTCTACCAAAGATCCACAATCTACTATTCACTTTCTAATTACTAATTAAGAAGATATCCTAGTAGCAATTCAATTGCTTCAACAATACTTTGAGTTTAACAACTTATCAAACTTTATATTCAGTGTTTAAGACCTCCTTCCTCCTCAATAGGATCTCTTTGACAACCAATCTGCAGACAATACTAACACAAATATAAGCTCTATGGCAGTAGATGAAGAAAAATATTCTCTAAATAAGTAATTCAATACACAACTTAAACCAGAGCACATCTAACAACAATATATCTAACTACAACAATATTACTAATACCTCACTAGAAAAATAAGGATTGCTACATATAATATTTGTAGATTAAATAACTCAACCAAACTGCAACAATGGATTTCTTATTATACAGAAGAGAACTTATATATTGTTTCAATTACAGAAACTAAACTAAAACAATCTGACTAATCTCTTACAAATCTTCTATACAGAATCTTTACATCTAATCACATCTCTACATCAATACAAAATAGAGAAGCAAGTCTTGGTATAGCTCTAATAGTCCATAACTCTATTCAGAACTATATTCACAATATTAGAACATATCTAGAAATAGCAATTTACCTAGATTTGTTTTTTCCAAGCAACAATAGATACCATATCATATTAGTATATTTACTATCTAATCATTCAGAGCTCCTTACTCATACACAATAACAGATCAATTTGTAGATATTAGAAGCAAAACAAAAAAACTAGTATATTATAATACTCAGAGATTTTAACTCATATATTTGATCAAACAAAAAACAATTTACTCTTCTAACTAATCTTTCTCATAATAACTATACCAGCCTCTTGCAATTTCACAACATAACTATTTCTACATAGCAAAACAACTGCTCTAGCTCACAAATTGATAATATCTGAGTTTCACCAAATATATTACTAGATCTTGACCCTTTAGATCTAATTAATGCAATTGGAATCTCTAATAGTGACTACTTAATTATATACATGACCTGGTATACAAACTTTCTACCTCCTGCCTCTAGGAAAAAAAGCAAAAAAAGGAAGATATACTTATATAATAAAATGATAACAGAAAACTGTGAGGAATTCAAGAACAAAGTAAATTCCTTAACTCAGCCTTTAACACAAAACACAGATATTACAGATATTAGTACTTTAAATAAACAATGGCACATATAGTTAGCAGCTATTAAAGAAGCAACTAATATATATATTCCATCTATATTCAAGAGACCTAAACCCAGTATGCATTTTCTCTCAAAACTTCTAAGTTATAAACAGCACTTAAACATATTAACAAATGTCTTTATAGTTTAGTTTTAATCTTACTACCTATAGATATTATATACTAGTTAATTTTTCTCAACAAACATATCATATAGGCAACAACACTATCAGGTATATCTATACCTCCTCTAACATCTATCTTTATCAGTTTACTAGTCAAACCTAATTCTCAATTTCATATTACAGGCAAACTATAAAAGTAATAAGGGCTTTAAAAACAAGTATATGGAAAAGCCATAATACAGAAAGAAATCTAGAACAATCTAAACTAGTGTTGGCAATTTATATCAACCAAGTAATTAAATTGGCTATTGCCTGATAATTGCCTGCTCAGCCAAAAAATGGCTTAGATATTGTGGCCAAAGTTAATTAGCAATTGGCAGCAGCTAAAGAAAAATATTAGCCTAATGGCTGATTTGGCTATGGCCAATTAGCCAAATTGGCCAAAGATTAGACACATTTAGAAATATGTACAGTTGTATATACAGTATAATATATTTTGACCAGTTTTATGTATAAAAACAATAGCGGCCTGTTGTATATTATGCCTTTTATAGAGTTTTTAGATTCTTATGCTATATATACATATGTACGAATATACGTACATATGTACATATATACTATATGTACTACAAAGGTAAATATGCATAACGATAATGAATATCTAAGTTAAGTATTTAGCATATGAAGTAACATTTAAATGAATTTATGATAAAAGATTTAATGCTGGGAAATTTTTCTGATCGATCTCAAGACTCATTACGAAACTTTGGATATTCTTGTTTGAACAAGTTAGTGTTAACTTTATTTTGTATCAAAGCTCATTTTCTTGTATTAAAAAAATAACTCAAAATTGCTGTGCGAAATATGAAATTACTGTATAAGATAATGTATTTAATGAAATTTGACTTCGAATATTGAAAAAAAATAACAATCTAAGTTAGCAAATAACAAGTAATAAACAAACCTTTCATATATAGCATAACTAACACATCATTAATCTTGCAAAGCCAAGTTAAATGTCATACTATAAATAGTAAGATTTGATCTTGTAAAAAAAAAAATATAATCATAATAGTAAAGAAATTTAGCAATAGTGCAAAAATATATAGAAAATAATTGTATGTATTTCTGGGAAATTTAGTCATAAAGTATATTAGTCATAAAGTATATTAGTCATAAAGTATATTAGTCATAAAGTATATTAGTCATAAAGTATATTTGAATGATGTAATAACCTCAAATAAATACTTAACTAGCGTAATAGTAAGTCAAGATTATTCTTAACGATATCAAGAAAAAAGACCATAAATTTATTGACTATATTGAAGTTCTTGATGAAAAAGCCGATGAATGGAGAAACTATGCAATTTGTCGTATGTGCTATGATACAGTTGGTAAAGCGACTGCAATACTTCAGAAATTTCCAAATAAAAGTGAGCAAGCAAAGAATCATCTAAAAAAATGCCAGCATTTTATTGATAAGCAAGGCAGTATAGAAGTAGCATCAAAAATATTGGGCATTAGCTTAGAAGAGGAGAATGAAATGTTAAATGTAGATAATAATACCAAAAGACCTTGAATAGAACAAGCTAGTAAGTATATTTAATTTAATAGTAATTTTATATAACCTTTTAAAAACATATACTGGTATATATTTTTTAATAGGTAAAGGACTACTAGACAAATATGCAATTCGGTCGTTAACTAAAAGTAATAAAAAAAGTTAGAGACTCTCCTACTTTGTGCAACAGTTTCTGCAGGATTTTCATTACAATAGGTGAAAATAGAGAAGTTTAGGAGTTGTTTCAGTTTTTAAATCCTACTTTAAAATTACCTGGACATCGAGCATTCAGTGGAAGAATTTTAAATCATAAAATAAAAGTTTTTGACAATAATATGATGAGAAAATTTAAAAATAACTCTGTTAGACTGATACTTGCTTTTGATAGTTGGACCAACGTAGTTAATCAAAATATTATGGGTGCAGTTCTTATTACACCCGAAAGAGAGGTATTAGTCTAGAAGGGAATAGATAGTAGTAGTGAAAGAGAAAGATGGAAAGATGTTATAGAAAAAATTGAAGTAATGTTTACTGAAATTAGTTAAATAGAAGTAAAGCTAATCGCAGTTGTTTGTGATAGTGCATCTTCTTATGCCGCAGCAAGGTATATAGATATATAATAAAGTTAGACTTATATTATAATTTTTAAAAATTAACCTTTTAACAAATATAGACGTCATCTTTGATTAAAATACATTGATATTTCTTTTTTACTATGCTATGCCCATCAAATGAACTTATTTGTAGGTAAAATTTTTAAAGAGTCTACTGAATTTCGTCAAGCAGCAGTTAATGCAATCAAAGTAGCAGCTTATTTTCACTCAGCACAGCATAAGTATTTCATTGGCCAATTAAGAGACTTGCAAAAAGAAATTTATAATAAATATATTTTATTGGTGATTGGCAATGATACACATTGGAATAGTTATTTAGAATACTTTCACTTGCTACTTAAATCAAAATCTGCATTAAAGATATAAAAAATTATAATTTAATTTTATATTAATTATTTTTAATACTTACATATATAAGTTTTTTTTTATAATAATGTT